ATCTTGGTTCTGATACTTTCTTTTCAACTGTTCCTTCTTTCTTCATGTCGATGATCCATACTCTATCTCCTCGTTTCAATTATTTTTTTTCCTTCACCCTGTGTCTTCTATCGTAATCTCTTTTCTGTTTCATTTTCTCTTCCATCAAGTTCATCTTGATTTGTCTATGATTCGGTATTTTAGGCATGAGTTTATCTTCACTCATTATAGGCACCCTGTCTTTCGATGTCCGACCAAATAAAAGCTGAGCAGGTGATGCTCCACATTGCATCTTGGTATTTCTGTAACTCAAAAGAACTAAATTTGGATCTTCATGATTCTTCTTGAGTATTGTTTTCAATAATTTGACTGCTGATTCAGCTTGACCATTTGACTGTTGGTATTGTGGACTAGAACTCACCCACTTGAAACCATAGTCCTTTGAAAATGTCTTGACAAGAAAACTGGTGAATTGCCTACCATTGTCACTCCTGACTATGTCTGGTATTCCATGACGGGAAAATATCTCCTTCATTGCCTTGATGACCGATTCACTGGTAATCTTGGACAACTTTTTGATTTCTGGGTACTTGGAATAATAATCTTGCATAACCAGATAGCTTGTTTTTATATTCTGCTAAATCTGCTCCTGAAATGGACCATGGTCTTGAAGGTACATCTGATGGGATCATTGGCTCAACACTAGATGTTCTATGTTTCAAGCATATTTCACATGAAGAAATCAGATTTTCTATCTGATTTTTCAGCATTGGCCACCATACAGCTCCTTTTGCTCTTGCTGAACATTTATCAAAACCAAAATGTCCATCATGTAAACGATTTAGGCATAATCTTCTCAAAGCTGGTGGAATCACCATTCTATCATTATAACAAATCAAATCATTTGATATATTTAGTTCCTTTCTATACTTGAAATAACACTCTGTATCATACTTCAATTTGTTCTTGGCTGGCCATCCATTCATAATATATTCTTGAAGTTGTCTAAATTGCAAGTCTTCTTTTTGTTGCCTCCTCACCATCTCAGCTGATAGTTCTTCTTCGCATATTTCCCTCAGTACTGAATTTATATAAATATCGTCCGTTTCCTTGAATATAATGTCCATATCGTTAGCACCATCACATATTGGGGCTCTTGAAAGTGCGTCAGGCACATAAAATGTTCGTCCTGGAACATACCTTATCTTGAAGTTGAATTTGAGTAGTCTCATTCTAAAACGTTGTAGCCTATTTGAAAGTTTATTGATTTCTTTGGAACATAGTATTACTGTCAGTGGTTTATGATCTGTAAGTATTTCGAATTCAGATCCTAAAAAAAATTGTTTCAGGCGTTCGCAAGCCCATGTCACAGCTAGTGCCTCCTTTTCAATTTGAGCATATCGGCGTTCAGTCTCACTCAAAGTTTTTGAATAATAATATACTGGCTGCCATTTTCCATCATGTTGCACTTGCTCTAAGACTGCTCCCAAACCAAATTGACTTGAATCAGCGGACACTCTGGTTTTTCTGTTTGTTGAAAATTTAGCTAAAGTCGGGTAAGATATTATGTTCTGTTTTAATCCTTCAAATTCCTTCTGTTGTACTTCAGTCCAACAAAATTGCCGATCATTTCGTATTAGTTCACGAATTGCTGCCGTTTTGTTTGCCAAATTCTCTACAAATTTTGACACATAATTAATAAGCCCAAGAAATTTTCTCACATCAGTTTTGTTCTTTGGCACTGGATAGTCCTTAATAGCTTCAACGCTTTCTGGATCGATTTTGATTCCATTTGAACAAATGACATAACCTAGATATGTTGTCTCATTTGTACAAAACTGGCATTTCTTCAAATTCAAGGTGAGTCCATGACTAGATAATAGTTTCAATACTTTATGTAAATTCACATCATGTTCTGTAATATTGCGTCCGGTAACTAAAATGTCATCAGCATGAACTAGTACACTGTCCAAATTCAAAGTTTTTATGAGGTTACTCACTGTTTTTTGGAAAACTTCAGGTGCACTAGTTATACCGAAAGGTATTCTTTTGTAAAAGAATTTTCCCACTGGAGTTATGAAAGTTGTTAATTTACGTGATTGTTTGTCAATTTCCAGCTGCCAAAACCCACTTTTGAAATCAAGTTTGGTGAATACCTTTGCATCCTTCAGTTTTGCTAATGTCTCTTCTACAGAAGGTAATTGAAATCTTTCACGAATAACACTTTTGTTCAGTTCAGTAAAGTCACTGCACAAACGTACATTTCCATCTTTTTTTAGAACAGTCACTAATGGTGCACACCAATATGTTGGTTCCTCCACTTTCTGGATTACACCATCTTCCTGCATCTTTACAAGTTCTGCTTCCACCTTCTTCTCTAAAGGTAATGTAACTCTCCTAGGGGTACCAATAGCAAAAGGTACAGCATGATCAATAATTTTTATTGTATGTTCGTATTTTTTTAGTTTTCCCAATCCATTGAAGAGTTCAGGATATGTTTTCAAAATGTTCTCTTTTACCTTGTCAATTTGATTTTCTACATTTTCCTGAACTGGTTTTGGATCAGACATCACTTGACTGATATCATTGAATATTATTTAAATTTTTTTCCAAATGACTATGTCCAACTTTGTCAAAGCTGGTCGTCCAAGTAAGTTTTCTTCTGTATCAACCACAAAACAGTTTATTTTCTTAATGTCTCCAGTGTAGCTGACAGGAATTTTAACTTGACCAAGAACTTTAAGGTTACAATTCGCCACTGTACCTGGACCTAAAAGTTTCACATTTGTTTCTTTCAACTTGTAGACATTTTTCAATTTTCTCTCATAATCACTTCTGGATATCACAATTTCATCTGCTCCAGTATCTATTTTGAATTTCAGCTTTGTTGTGCCTATCTTTGATTTCATTTTCCAAGTTCATTTTGCACAGATCCAATTTTGATTATTTCTCCAATTTCACTTTCTTCAGAGGATTCTGAACTGGATGCACTTTCATTTTTTACCTCAGAAAAGTTTTTAGTCCGAGACTGCTTTGCAAAATGTCCAACAATTTTGCATTTCTGGCACCTCACTTTATTTGCTGGACATTTAAATTTTGGATGACTAGGTTTATATCCACATTTTGAGCATTCATTTTTCTCATTTTCACTATTTTTAGTATATTTGAAGCTTCTCATCTTTGAATTTTTCTGAACTACCCTGTCAACCCTTTCCATTTTTCCATGTATTTCCTTGTTTTCTTCTTTGATTCTTTCTGACTGCATTATTTTCTCAATTGCTTTATCCAACGTTAGTCTGCTATCCATTTGTAGAGATTCACTTAATTTTAGGTCCCTTATGCCAACAACAGGGCGGTCCCTGATAAGTTCATCCTCTAATTCTCTTAAATCACAGCTTTTTGCGTAGCCAATAAGTTCACTAATATATTCCTGGGCTGTTTCACCATCTTTTTGTGAACACATGATGAACTTGGCCCTGGCATAAACAATGTTTTTGGTACCTACAAACTGTTGGTCAAAGAATTGTTTCATCTCCAGATAAGTGACGAAGTCATTCTCCTTTTTCTGTAGTGTCTCAAGTAACTTTGACACCTTCGGCCCCATGTATAGCAATAGATTATTCATTTGTGCTTTTTCGTCTGCCTGTTCCAGTTTAGCAGCTAGTCTATATCTGTCATAGTGTTTTATCCATGATACCCATTCATCATTATCAAATGAAAATATTTCTGGTGACGGAACTGGATTAAGAATAGTTTGTACTACTTGCTGCATTTGATTCTGTTGCTGCAAAGCCGTTTGCATCTGTTCCAACTGAATTTTCAGTTGTTGAATTTCTTGTTCCATTCTGGAGAATAAACCAACCTCAACTCCTGAGTTTTATTTTATCAACTTATCTGATGCACGTTTAATGGTTTGAAACACCTGACACCATGTGGCGAGCGTGTGAGCGTTTATTAACAAATTATTAATAAATTATCTTTATTACTTTTTTGGTGTCATTTTTATAAACCTTAAACAATTAACTCTCAATCCTTGTTTATCATTTCATAGCCCTCTCCCTCGACTATTCTGTCATCTGTCATATATCCAACCTAACCTAACTACAGTCTAGCCAACCTATACTACATCTAATAACCGTCATACATGTGAATTGCTATAGTTATTCGTCAACGTACAATGCTAGGAACTCAAACAGCTATGATTAATGGGACAAACATTATCTGAATTCACCAATAAGCATAATTCACACAACGAGCTATGTCATTAACAAATCTAAATAGACTACTATTCATAAGATACTCCTTATGTCATAACACATCTGCGTTATGATGGTAGCAAATGTCCATTCAAAGGTATTACAAATGTTTTGAAAAAGCAATTTCAATGAAAACAGAATGGCGAAAATACTTGTTGTAATAACTAAATGATCGATAATAGAAAATTTCATCATAAAGGTTTTTACAATCACAGTTGAAAGATATTTTCAATATCCAGTTTCTCTCAGTGTGTAGGTTTTTGAGATATATCATTCAATTGGTATCGCATGGCATGATCCATATATCGTTATAGAATCGCGAAATCGAGTGCGAATTTTCGCACAAGAAAGTGCAATCTCTCAATCATCTCAGGATAGTGATTGGCACGGATACCGTTCGATGAACAACAATGTTTCACTTTCCATTGGAACATATATTATATCGCAGCTGGCTCTCCTACTATCAATAATTTGACAGGATGCGAAGAATGTCAACAATCAGTTATCAATTTGCTGTCAATATTCTGTTTAAGTTCTAGTCAAACTGTGTTGTCTGTTTTGTCTGTAATGTCTGTGATAGTGAGAAAATAATAGAAATTCTCATTACTTTAGTCGACCTATGATAACGGTTGAATGATTCCAAATCAAAATCCGTTTTATGGGGGGAAATTCATGTATTACTCATTCTAGGAAAGAAATGAGAGTGGGAATAGGTTTTTGAAATTAAAAGTGTTGATATGAATATCAAAATCAGAAGCGATCAAGATGTTTGAGTTCTCATCAGATTCTTCTTTGGATGGGACGCAAAATCGATATTCAAAGTGCTTGGAATTTCTGAACGTCACGCTGTTTGCTGAGAATTTCGTTGATAGTGTCATAGAAGAAGCTACAAGTGAGTTGAAAATACCTATATAGCGTGATTTCTCGAAGTTATCATAGCTCTAGATTCCTGTTTTTTATTCATGAGGGTCAATTACAATCATACATGACATAATATACAGTGTGACCCAGTTAAGACCGGAGCACCCTTATAAAATCTATAGTTTTTAACCGATTTCTTTTTTTTTTTTTTGTTTCAGCAGAAGGACTATCCGGAGATCTACGTTTACGCAAATTTGCGAAATGACATTTCAATCTACAGGGCATACTATGTTATTTTTTTCATGTTAAAAATTGCGAAATATCATAAGCGATTTTTTTCAAAAACCATTTTTTATGAATATTCCAGACAAATTCTGAGGAGAGGCAACATTATCAACACAAACGTTGGGAATGGGCTTATATCACAAAAAAATTTCATAACATAATTCGATAGAACTCACCCAAACTAGCTCACCACCGCAAACCGTTTCTTGCTGTGAGCTCCCTACGTTTTATAAAAAATTATTGAAATCCCCGATTTTTCGGACCTCTGAAAACGAGGCGATGATGTGACGTCAAAACCCTAATACTGAAACAAGACTATTCCAGACAGAGATGAATGATACATGATTTCTGACAGAGTGAATTAGCGTGAGATCACAGTTGAAAGAATTAATATATCAGTTGCCTCAGTCTCCGTCGGGCTTTTGGTATTTTCTTTCAACTATGGCGAGATGAGGTTTCTACGTCATAAGATGACGTTAATCATGATTTATGTATAAAAGGATCATTATAAACATGGTTTGAGTTTAGAGTTCTACTGAGGTGTACACGCCCATTATTGGGGTTTCTGGTATACATTTGAATTGATGACACAAATTATTAAAGAGTTATGATCTCTAGAATGGTACCCCTTTGGAATGATCTACATTTTCAATAAGATGGCTGGCCAGTTCATCATGCTAGGATTATCAGATAATGGCTGAATGAACAGTTTCCTCGTCGCTGGATTGGTCGAGGAAGTTAATTAATTGGATGGCCACCCAGGTCCCCCGATTCAACCCATCTTGACTTCTTCTTGTGGGGTTTTCTTGTAGCTCACTCATTTTTGAACCGATTCAAAAATTTGAAAAATAATTCAAAATGATTTTTCATAAATTTTTTCCTGCTGCATCAGAAAATACAGGGTGCCCGTAACAAACAAATTACAGAGTACTACTTGATTTTTTCAAATGGAACACCCTGTATTTCATTGTATTTTAAGATTCTTCCTGGAGACCTGATTTCATCGATGTATCACACTTGGGGTCTAGCGGGAACGATTACAGAAATATAGGGTGTTCAAAATCGAGATTTTTCAACTCTAAGATTTTTTTGTGTCGAAACTATTCATTATTGGTCAAAACGGCTCCTTTGTCCCCATCTCAACTTTTGTTTTACAATGTACTGACATCTAATTGGAACATTTACAGGGTGGTTCAAGATTCAGAATTCTGATCACCCTGGTATCTGTTCCAATCATTAAATGTCAGTAGATAGTAAATCGTAAGTTGAGATACGGACATGAAAGCCGTTTTGACCGATAATGAATAGTTTCGTCATAAAAAAATTCTAAAGTTGAAAAATTTCGATTTTGAACACCCTATATCTCTGTAATCATTCTCGCTAGACCCCAAGTGTGATGCATTGATCAAATCAGTTATTCAGGAAGAATCTGAAAATACAATGGAAAATAGGGTGTTCCATTAAAAAAAATCAAATAGTACCCTGTAGATCATTTGTTATGAGCATCCTGTATTTTTTGATGTGGCGGAAAAAAACTTTATCGAAAAACATTTAAGATGATATTTCAAATTTTGAAATCTGTACAAGAATAACTAACAAAAAGTTTACAAAAACCGCCCAAGAACTAGACAGGAGTTGTGTGGAAGAATACGTCAAGCTTGTAGGAAAGTAACACCCGGAGGACTCAAAAATAATGTGAAGAATAGATATAAAAAATGTATTTCATTGAATGGTGGTTTAGTGGAAGCAACAAAAATTTGAAATGTATTGATTAGGGCAAGATAGTATTATGGATACCTACCGAGATTATTCAATGATGTATATTATTGAACTTATTCGTACGATGGCTGGTAGAAAATCTGGAAATGATGAAATGGAGATGAAGTTAAGTATAATTTGATACGAAAATTCTTGGTCGATGATAATTATTGTGAGACGCCGATTTTTCGATATTATGGATTCTACATTTTATGAATCTTCTCATGAATACCAAGATAAATTCCATTTCAGATGATATAACTCGATGATAATTTGTGTTATCAATTCAGATTTATACCAGAAATTTCAATGATTTCCAACATTTGTGTTGACAATATTGAGGCTTCTCAGAATTTGTCTGAAATAGTCATTAAAAATGGTGAGCAATCAAAATTAATGTTGTTATTACTTCGTTGCCAATTGAAATTTTCTAATGAAATTTTGCGCTTAACCTAATTGGAGGATGCGGAATTTGAAAACAATCGCTAATGATATTTCGCAATTTTCAACATGGAAAAAATAACATAGTATGTCCTGTATATTAAAATTGAATGTTGAAAATGTGTGCAAACGTAGATCTCCAGATAGTCTTTCTGTTGAAACAAAAAAAAAATTGGTTAAAAACTACAGATTTTATAAGGGGATTGAGTGGATCACACTGTATGCTATAGTAGATCACATCAATAATGTCATGCATTCATTGTGGACGAAGCTATAGGTTGTGACACGTTGAAGAGTTAATATGTCTGAACATGAGGTAACTAATCCTTGATGCTGAATAAAACAAGGAAGATGAATAACGGAATTGGCACAATGGAAAAGCACATAACTCATAACACCGCGGTCGTGAGGGTGAGATCGAATTCCAGCCAGGACAAGAATTATTCTTCTGATATGTAATTTCTGATATTCAAAAATACTTCGGATACCTCCATCATGGAAGATAAGTACTGCTACTTTCAGTAATGAGAAGAATATTTAAAGTTGTGTCACTCGACATGTAATGATCGGAATAATTGGTAATTTTCAAGTGGTGGATTTAGCAGAGAAGTGTGATTTCAGTGGCGATGTTATTAATTTCAAATGATGTCGCCGTGAAATTATGCATAGATGAATCTCGGAATCTTCACTAGAAGAGATCAATTTAACAGTTATTGAGGGTATTCTATTCCGAATAAAATAATCTATACATAATTTGAAAATGAGGCAGTAGACGAGAAATAAACCCCAAAACTTGAGAACCTTCATTATTTTTCAGATACCATCCAATCTGAATGGACTTATGAAGCGCAGAGGGTTTCTAATGTATCAGCAAGTGTAGATAGAGAATCTGTATATACATACAATTATATAGACCCTGCGAAACCTGAATTCACCACTTGGCCAACAATTGGAAATTTCACGATAGAGTTGGGTGCCAAGAAAATAAACGAATATCTCTCATCATTTCCCGTAGACGAAGAATGGTTGTATGCAATATATTACTTGAGTACTATATACGAAGATGTTTCTGATTTACACGAATACGAAGTGAGTTGTAATGACTGGAACGATCAAATTATCACCACATCTACATTGCATGAGACCATTGAAGTTGTCAAGCCTGATGAGATATAGTTCTTCACATAATTTGGAAATATTCAATTTCGTTTTATTTTTGATGAGTAGTATAGATTGAATTAACCGAATATGTCAGGTTACGTTATCTAACTCTCAATATTCAGGTAGGTACTGACATAACTTCGAGAATTACCCTGCATGTATGTACTACTCGGTATTTGGAAATTTCGGAAAATTCTTGTGATTTCAATTTCGTTTTTTATAATTAATCGATCTCAAAGCCACACAATTTTAATGAATACCTACGATTAATACAGACACAAACTTTTATTTTTGGATGATAACAAGTTCCATTCCATTTCAATTCCGGATAAAAAATTGAAACAGTAAGGTAGAATTTGTTGAACCTCTCATCCCAGTGATAGTGTTTGATTCGAATATATGAACTGATTGAGTATTCCAAACATTTGAATAACTATAGCGTATTGGACTGGCTTCAATATTGCGCATTTAAATTCCAACTTTGATCGTGCATGTGTGTTCGGCTGGTATGCACTTAGACATTACCAATATCATTCTTATTCATCTTCTTTTCCAATGATTTTAATATTATTCCACTCTGCCATTATGTTGTCCGTCTTCACCCAGATAGCACTAGATAATTTATGGACATCCTAAGAATATTCCGTTTCGGATGTTCGAATATTCTCTAGACTCACTTTGAATATTTATATTCTTTTCAGAATATTCTATGGAGCATGGAAATGGGAATCTTTTTGAATATTCTATAGATATCCGACAAAGAATATTCATTGGATAATCCAGAATATTCAGGGGATACCTTTGGAATATCTTTTCATCAAATATTAATACTATCTATGGATTATTCCAAATCGATCATCCAATAGTAATCATTAAATATTCTGTAGGTATCCATAGAATATTCTGAGGTTTCAATTTTGATTCAGAAAATATTCTTGCTCTGGAAATATTTTATTATTCAAAGATCTGTCTATACAACAATATCTGACAAATTTATGATTAGTATGGTGATTACAGCCTCAGTTCTTCGATCACGATACTTTCTGGCCTTTCCTGAAATTGTTAAACATATTATAATCCCAGATGCTATTCAGTATAACCTTTAAAGAAATTGAAAAAATGTAACAGGAAACATTTATTAAGAAAGTCGTTTTTGCAACTTCAAATAACTCACCTGATGAGATTTTATTACACTGGACACTTGTATGAAAGTACATCTGAGTAAAGGTTTCATTATCAATATCCTCATTTCACCAAGTAGGTGAGTATAGATCCAGACTAATCACTTCTCTACAGATACATCATTTTCAGAACAGCATCTGGAACAAAAATGTTTTTCATGTAGGTATATATGTATGTTTAGTTATAAGCATTTCATTTCTGAGATACAGTATCTCGCCACCCTTATTGAATCACCTGGTACATAAATAACTCACCACCAACGGCACCATTTTCACCAGAAATCATTCATTATTTGAGTATACCTATATTAGAGGCTTAGAATTTCTTACCCTCAATTTCCTGAAATGAGAGCTGATATCGGTTATACTGCTGATGCACCTGAGATGCTGACAATTTTGAGGTATACCTATCTGGCAAATGATTTTCTATATAACAATAAAGAAAGCTTCACTATTGTTGCAATTGAGATGCCGATGCTTATATATACTCACCTACGACTACGATAACAGAACCTCATATAGATTGCTTCATTATCAATCATCATCAATCAATCATTATTGCTTGAAATTTCATACCTACTAAAACTTCTTGAACTACAAACAGGTCTGTGTAGTGTGTATAGTGTATACGCTAATGTTGTTGTCGTATCGCCGCCATCTTCTTGACTCTTTCATTCAGCCTCTCTCCGCGGGTCCGTGTGGTCCTTATGCCCTAGCCTCGGTACACGGTACCTCGAGTTAGATTGACAGGTCAATATTCGCGGGAAGTTCGACAAGTGCAAGTGTTGAAAAATTGGTTGAAAATTACTTCATGTTGTAACATTTTTGAATTATTCCAGAAATACTTTAATTTTGCGATATCTCCAATAAAATGAAAGTAGACATTAGAAATTTGAAATAGAATGATCTCAATCATATCTGTAAATATATCGAAACTGATGAACCTACAGAAAAAAAAAACGAATTATTACCAACATATTTTCGATTCCACAACAAAAAATCATAGATAGATTTGAAATGTTCTCAATATAATAACTTTTGGAGATTCAAAACCGGACATGCAATGAATATTCGATACGGAATGATGTTGATCCAGAATAAATAATCATGAAATATCCATAAAACAATGCGTTCAGAATATTCTCAATCGAATGATCTGTGGATATACGAAACTGAACCTGCGATGAATATTCGAAATGGAATAATATATAAATATCTATAGATATTCTGGATATATTCAGGACATCTATATAATATCTGGATATAAACTGCGTGACAAATGAAGTGGTCCACCTGACTATTTCACCCAATTTTGAAATCAAATATTGTGAAAAATAATAGTCCGATTCTGGAACGGTTTGTTCCATATTGTTTGAGAATCGTTTGAGAATGATATGGTTTGCTTACTCTTCCCATGAAGTTTGCGTTTTCAGATTTACAGGGAGAGACATTGACCCATTACAAAAATAAATATTTTCCAAGTTATCCCAATCATATGGAAAAATTTTTGGATTTTTTTCTAGGGCATATTATGAATGCCTGATGTGTTTCGCCGAAATGGTTTCGGAATTTTTTTGCTAGCATGCTTCATCAACAAGCAACATATTTTTGACGTTTTTTGAGATGTCCTTAATTTCAGCTGATCTGTTCATGAAATAAGAGAGTTTTTTCATGAAATCGATACAGGGTTGAATTCATCACTACAATTTCTTCGATGTTGGCCGAATATTGATCTACAGGGTAATTCAAGATACCAAAGAAACGTGAAATTCAGTCCTGCATATTGTGATTTTCACTTTGAATGCTCTATATTGACGTAGAATTATTTCATATCATCCCTGGTGTCATTTTTTGATCTCCTGATATTGATAAAGCTGTTGGAATCATTATTCCATGATAAATTATTGAAGTTATATTCCCTGCCACTATATATGAGGATCATTTGCGAAAGTGAGAGGTTGTTTACGTCGTATTTTTTTAAAAAGATATCAAGTTCGGCGATCAGGATGAAAATCATCATTGAAAATAAATTATGGAAATGAACTCATGGTTTTATATTTTTCTGCGAAAACTCTTTATACCACGCGCTATTTGTTAATTCCCAAACATACTGATCTCAGATGCTCCTGTATCTATCGCCCTATATCTTCTATGTCGATTGTTATGTCATTGTTTGATATTGTCACTAGCAACAATTGTCAGTGATAATTCAGAACATATTCTCATTTTGCACTTTGTGATCAAAAGATTACTAGAGCATAATTAAAATGCCACAAACACGCCTATCGACAAGAGAATTGGAAAATGCCATTCGACTGATAATAAATGATGGATATTCAGCTAGGGAAGTAGAAAGAATCTACAATGTATCACATAGCGTGATAAATGGAGCTATTCAGAGATCCGATGAAACTGGTAGTTCGGGCTTTCGTCATGGGGGTGGACGATCAAGAAAGACAACTGCACACCAAGATCACTATATCAGTGTGACGGTAAGACGGCAACGCACTGCTACAGCTCGAAGAAATAATAATGCATTACGTGCTGCAACGAATGTTTTGGTATCCTACAGAACTATCATAAGACGAATTAAAGAAACCGGTTTGGTACCAAGACGTCGTGCTGCATGTCCAATGCTCAATAATCGACATAGAGCCAGTTGACGCATATGGGCAGAGCAGCATGTCGACTGGGAAATGGATGATTGGTCAAACTGCTTGTTCACGGATGAATGCAGATTCAACCTTTATAGGTCAGATGGTCGTATTTTAGTTTGGGGGGAAAGGGGTAGTAGGTTCCAAAAGGACAATATGGAGCCAAGAGTAGCATTTGGTGGAGGAGGTTTAACCGTGTGGGGTGGCATTTCACGAACTGGCCGCACAGAACTCATCATATTGAACCGTGGACAAACTATGGATGCCACTCTTTATAGAGATCGCATCCTTAGTGGTGTCGTTCTCGAATGGGCTCAAAACCATCGGGATAGGTTCATTTTAGTTGATGACAATGCTCGCCCTCATCGTGCTAGGATTGTGAATACATTTTTAGAGGAAAACAATATGAATAGAATGGTTTGGCCAGCACGATCGCCAGACATGAACCCAATCGAGCATGTTTGGAGCCGCTTAAAATTATAAATTACTCGACGTATCGAAGAACCGATCACGTTCGAGATTCTTTCAAGAATGATTCAGGAAGAGTGGGAGAGAATGCCACGGCCATTTATACAAAGATTAGTAGATAGCATGCCATCACGATGTCGTTCTCTCCTTCATGTACGTGGAGGCCCTACTAAATACTGAAATTTCTCAATGTGTCAGTACATCAATTTGAAAATGAATGTTTGCATAGAAGTTAATCTTGTAAATAAATCATGCGAAAGCAATAATTTGTAATACCTTGTATATTACCGACAAAACAATGAATGGCGTGGCGAAAACTCATCTCAATTCATAATAGCTCGTGAAGAGAATTTCGATACCTAAGGTTACCTACTACACTACAGGTCACGGATTCGACATTCAGAAAGGAAATAAACGGCATGATTTCATCGCTTTCAATATTGTGAAAAATGTTTTGTTAACATGTCCATCAGTGAATCGAAGATAACATGAATGATAATGAATCATTCTACGTCAATACAGAGCATTCAAAGTGCAAATCACAAAATGCAGAACTGAATTTCACGTTTCTTTGGTATCTCGAATTACCCTGTAGATCAATATTCGGCCAACATCGAAAAAAATGTAGTGATAAATTCAACCCAGTATCGATTTCATGAAAAAACTCTCTTATCAGATCAGCTGAAATTAAGGAAATTTCAAAAAACGTCAATTTTCCATAAAAAAATATGTTGCTTGTTGATGAAGCATGCTAGCGAAAAAATTTCGGAACCATTTCGGCAAAACACATCAGGCATTCATAATATGCCCTAGAAGAAAATCCGAAAATTTTTCCATATGATTGGGATAACTTTGAAAATATTCATTTTTGTAATGGGTCAATGTTTCTCCCTGTAGATCTGAATACACAAACTCCATAGGAAGCGTAAGCAAATCATATCATTCTCAAACGATTCTCAGACAACATGAAACAAATCGTTCCAAATCGGACTATTATTTTTCATAATATTTGATTTCAAAATTGGGCGAAATATTCAGGTGGACCACTTCATTTGTCACGCAGTTTATATCTTCCAAATCGAACACTGACAGAACATTCCATGAATATCTGGTGCTATCTGGGCAGTGAGAGTATGTTCAGCAAGTTTCGATTTTCATTTCATCAAAGAACAGAAAATCCCAAAGAAACTTGAATTATGAATGTATCACCTCCTCGGTAATTCGAATGTTTTCCCACAAAACTTTTTGACAGTGCCAAAGTCACGAGCTGAAATATGGTTGAAGTTATAGGGTGTTTATTCACATTGTCATTCACATTTTTCGAAACGACTGTCATGAAACTATCAGCAAATGATTCCCTATTGTCGAGGAACAGTGATAGTAGCCAAGTCGAAAAGGGCGTCTCACTTATTTTGAATCAAGGTGATTCAAAATAAGTGAGACGCCCTTTTGCAGATATTCAAGAAACTAATGGAAAGTATATTGGATGATCATCTACATTAAAATTTCCATGCATTTTATCGGAAGTTCACTGATCATTGTTGAAATTTTTAATGTAAAATTCTTCAGAAGAGTATTTCGAATCATTATTGCTCCGTTCCACATGTTATTCATCAAATTTTCCTCACTGTATTCCACTGAAAATAATAATTCCAATCAGTGTATAATTGAAAGATTTTATCGCAACTCCGAGATTGAGTTCAGTTGCATTTTATACCTATACAAGGTAAAAGTAACAGTAGGAATTTGGAAAAATATAATCCTCACTAAGAAACAAAGCACATAATATGTTTTTTTCAAACTAGATATAGATCAATTATTTGCAGATACAACCAGCTTTGAGGACTATTTTTCTCTCATAATTGAACACATGTGAGTAGGTGGATTCACGAAAATACATACATCCCATCAAATACCCACTTTGTGAAAATCATATTCACTCGACCCAATTTGCAATATTTATTTTACTACTGAATGTGAATGAAATGCAAACTAACGTAACCTCCAATTGGGGCATTTTTATTATGGGAATCTCATGAATGTTAAGTATTGAAACAAACATAGGAGTACACAAATAAACAGTTTTTTTTTCTGAAATCACTATTCAAAAATGGAAATGATACACACAAGCAAATTGACTATTTCAAAACCATGTACTTTCATATAGTTCCGCAACCGACCACTTTGGCGCTGCAATCTTGAATTCAGTCACCTATAATAATAATTCTGAATTCAGAATCGGAGTGGGATGAAACAGGGCAGCAAAATATTGGGAAAATAGAAATTATTCCGCAAATAATCATTCTCTTAAAACTTGAAAACTCAGAGAATAATTTGACGATTTTTCAATTTTGCACCTTTGATTAGATCTAGCTTGATTAAGCATTAGGATTCAACAGCACGTTGTCCTAAACATACTAGTAGAATATTTATAATGTCACTAATGAAATCCATCCATACAGTGTCAGGATAATTCGAGTTATCCACATGCATCTGCTGATGAATGGTTCGAACTGAACGAATTATGTCAGAAGTTAGTGCAGTGCTAAATACGCATGTTACTACAATCCAGTAAAGTACGCTATTAATTTGGTGGAAATCATTTGTGAGAACAACACTTAGGAGGAAGAGATTATATATTATATGATATACTCAAAACTGCTATTTTACGACGAATGAATATGCAATGTATTTTATATCATATATTATGTAACCATTCAATTTCTTCATTTGCTGAATTCTAATTATCAGTACGGAGAATCTAGATAACCAGAAACTTGATGAGGTAACATCATCAAGATGAGGAACTACTCGATTCTTCAATAATTTCAGGCTAAATGGTCTCTTCCAACTGCATCTTACCCGATAGCCCAATCAACAGCGAGTGTTTTCTTCACCATAGAAGTATCGAGGATATTACCCAAAGATTGTTTAGTCAAGGCAAGTACTCCTGTTTCATGAATACGAAAACAATAGAATATAATGATAGGCAGGTAGGATGGCAAATGTTTCCACCCAGTTGACCACATTTGAATATATCAGCTCTATCATTGTAGTGATCAGCCAAATAAATTCATTCCATCGCACTGTTCTGCAAACAAATGTAGCGCTGTGCTGTATCACGTTTCATTAGAAGGTTCATCAATGTTATGAATTCAATGTGTATTCTAGTCGTCATCACAGAAGATCAATCAAAAACTAACGGCCATTTATCTATGCTTCACCCTTAATGAAAGTCAACACTGTTAGATTCGCCAGTTGGCGTTGCTGAGAGCATTAGCACGACAGTCTCAGTAATTGAATCAACGATTTTCGTGACCTTTTCGAGAACTGGAGATTCTGCACCAACGTTCCCAAAGACCTCTTCGATTTCACTAACTCAGATTCAGTCAGATTTTAAACTTTGTACAAGAAACATCTAATAAAATTGGCTCTCTGCTTTTATGATTTGATAAATGAATTGTTTCCAAGGTGAGACTCACCTAGTTCGAAAATAAAATTGGCGCAGTCGGTTGGATAGTCAGGATCAGTGCATTGTGCATAAGTTTATTTCTACAATAACCGGCTATTGCTATTTCAAGTGAACTTCCGAGTGATTTTCGGACATTCTCATCGAACAGAGTGGCTCCTTGAACTTTAGACCACTCAGTTCATCGAGAACCTATCCAGTTGAAATCAACCAGGACCAACCAAAGAGGAAAAAAACACAAATAACCTTCCTCTGCGAGACAATTGACCAGGTAAAGACGAAGCAGCGACACAGGCAATTTCTCCATGAAATAAGTGAACGATGAGCGAAGGCATCTTTATATTATGAGAATAAATCATCGACAATGTTCTCGTCCGACTCAGGCGGACAAAATGAATCATGTTTCGAGTAAACCTACTACTAGTATTGACTATGGCACCTCAAGATTTTGAACCTGAATAATCCAATCGATCAAATTCATCATTCCCAAGAAACAACATTTGTTTATAGCAAAGAACATGGTGAATATGTGGATATCTTTGACGAAATGAGAAGGAATAATTCATAGCTCTTAGAAATATCCAAATTCCTACTTGCATCTCTAAAGCTTGAATGTGGATTATCATTTAAATAATCAATGATTCGATTTGATCCCATTTATCTATCACGATGCTGGTTCAAAGTATTTCTTCTGTTCCATGATGATCAGAAAATCAATTTATTTTCGCAACGAATACATGATCAATATAGGGTGTAATTGTCGTCTGTTGAATTCATTAGCCGCTTCAAGAAAAGTACGCGTCTCATCACCTACTAATTGTATTAATTCCACTCTTTCTTGTAAAGAATATAGAAAAGTATATTCACACATTCGAAATAGTATAAACTATTCAACTAACATTTTTATTGACAATTGATGAATAATACAATGCATTTTGTTTTCACAGCACTCTTAGTGAGGTATCTACCCATTCATGATACTGTTACTGTGAGAACCTAAAATACTGGTCAATCATTTTGGACGAATAGTTATCGGGTTGTTCATTTCAACACGAATCGTCATGATATGAAATCATAAGGCTGAGATATATGACACCAAATAATGTACCTACAACAGAAAATAATTATAGATAGGTACTACGTAACAATTACACCCAGTGAGATTTTCTCAGACACATTGTATATCAATAGAATTATAGATATTGGTACAAATAGGTTTGAGGTAATTCTGTATGAGAATCAATCATTCGTTCTTCTCAAAAATACAATAGTAGTACATTTTCGGATCACGTATTCACAAAAATGATAATTCGATTCTTCAGATACCCTATGTTTCATGATAGAATACAGCTATATTTCAAGCAATTCTGGTTCAGAATCCATCATTATTTCTTGAGTGGGAAGTTCGCATAATTTCAATTTCTGAATTTTTTCCTCTGACACATTGTGTATTTGAATGATAGAAATCGATACAGATATGGAGATTGGAGTAATCCTCAAGAATAGTTCATCATCAGTTCCTTCCAAAAATATCTCAGTACCACATTTTCTGATCACGTTTTCAAAAAAAACATTATGATCAGTTTTTTCGAACACCCTGTGTTTCAAAATGATGGAAATCAGGAATGTTTCAAGTGATCCTGATTCAGAATTCATCATCAATTTTTCCGAAAAAAAAACCCTTACTTCTTGAAAAATGGGTCAATATAATTGGTCGCAGTTGACTATGATAACAGTCCAAGAATAAAATCACTCTCTTGTTGGATGGACATTTCGAATACCTATTCAAAAAAATTTTTTTTCTACTCCTTACTCGGTAAGTACTTCATTTTGATACTGATTTGAGGGAGGAAAACACGTTCTACCTCCCTAGGGAGGTAAGTAAATATTTACCTCCCTAGGGAAGCAAGTTAAATAAACTTCATAATTTAACTTAAAAATTGAACTCTTTATTTTAAATTAACATTTATAGTACAATTTGAAAAATTACAGTTTGAAAAATGTGGGGAAACCTCTTGCAGCTGTTTGGACACTTCTACTGTTGTGCTTATGTTATCAGAAATTCTTGTTACAGCGCTGGTCAATGTGGTAGGCAGATGAATAGCAGATGAATTTGAATCGCTGTTATTCTTGTTATAAAGAATTTTGTTTGCCACCTCGTTCTTATTGCAAAGACTATCAGCAACATAACCTTCAGCAACCGTCTCCGACTTCCAGCCCCCATGTCTTTTAAGAGCTAAAACACTTGAACCAGTGTTAGCTAATAATGTGGCAGACGTTCTTCTAAACGAATGGCCGGTATAAGCTTCAGCGTTAGGCAGTCTGAGAAATTTTGCTATTTTTGTGGGAATAGCTGAAAAAGTGTTCTTTCCCACAGGCTGATTCAAGCATTTGCCTTCTTGGTATCTCAAAAAAAAGCGTTGTTGGGGTCTTTCAACCAACGATCTTATTTTGAGATATCTTTCAAAAATGTTTAAATGGCAGATTTTACTGTCTTTGTCTGCAGTGATGGTGAATCTTCTAGATGTACCATTTTTTGAATCAGGTATATTGATTATAATTAAATTTTCCATTTCCTTGACATTCTCTACACTCAGATCGCATAATTCTTGTGAGCGGCATGCTCCAGCAATCCCGACGACTATCACTACCTTCATTAATAAAAAACTTCTATCGTCGGCTTCTGTCAAAAATTTTTCTATTTCTTCTCGCGTGAAAACTTGAGACTTTTTTGGCTTATAGCCATCATTTTTTCTCTTCAAAAACGCCTTTAGTTTAAGGAATTTGGAAATGTCTACATTGTCTTGAATGGATAACGTCGATTTTAGCATCGAATACTCACTCCATAAACTTGCAGGGGACTTTAGGGTCTGTGACTTCTCTACAAAGTACGCCAGCAAAGAGTTCTCGGTAATGCTTTCACCACTTGCAATATTACTGCACCAAGCCTTGAAGTCCTTGTAACACCGATTGTACCGTTCCTTCGATTTCTGAGGTAATAGAGCAGCACAAGCTGCATTCGCAACTGCATCGATATCCATTATTTCGATTTTTTTAATAAAATGACACTGACAGAACATTTGTTTGATTATAAACAATATGAATTCCATAGCGATCAACGTGTAACACTAGGAAACCTGTCATACATACAGGGTTTTTCAGTTAGATTAGTCAAATTATATAAGTAATTGAAAAACATTTTTTTTAATCTAAGGGAACTGGAGTAGAAAAAATATAATACAAAACTCGGGAGGCAGTGTTCTTGACCAATCTCGGACTATTTTGCAAGCCCTCGCTGTCGCTCGGGCGCAAACAATGTCCTCGACTGGTAAGTATCACTTGCCTACCTTGTAGTGTAAATAACTATTTTTCGAAGTCCGGCATATAATAACAATTTCACAGAGGTGGTGAGTGCTAAAGGTGGACACTCTGTATAATTCTTCCTGAACACAATTTGAAAATATCAATTTATTCAGGATCGACATGAATGAATCATTTTTTGTGTCAACTATTTTTCAGAAATCAGCGCTCATTTGCCTACGTCTAGTATCTTCAACTCTGAGAGGATATTCGTTTAGGTGTCATGATTTTTATCATGGTTTTATAGGTGCAGATGATTTAAAGTTATTGCAAGCGAACTCGAATTTCGATAAATCAATTTTGATTACGCCTGTTGTCAATATTACATGATTTCATCATCAGACAAAAAACGAATTGAAATCGATAAAAATTGCTCCACGATAGGAACAAATCATCAGAGTCAAAACTTCGATAGATAACGGTGGAATCATATTACCCCATCAAAATATTCATGATTGGGAAATACCTGAGGACTAACTATTGCAAAATATAGCAAAGCCATAACTTCTATTTCAAATGATACGACTGAGACAATCACGTTAGACCTTTCTGCTCCACTTCACGTTAAAAAATAATACATTTACAAATTAAGAACTGATCATTCGAATATTGAAGAGGTATCGAAAATTCTGAATTTGTGCAGAGAACATTCGGATATTTTTTTATTATGAGGACACATCTTCAAGGTTCACGAACCGAGTTAAACATAAAATCCGAACAAATGATGAGACCCTAGTTCACATGAGAACTTATCACCACCCCTTTATTCATAAGCAAGAGGTCAAAGGACAAATCAATGCTATGTTGCAAAAAATCATCAGGCCTAGTAACTCTCCTAAGTCGTCACCAATAAAGGTGGTTCTCAAGAAACTAGATCCTTTGGCAAACGAAAATAGCGGGTGGACTACCGCAACTCAATGAAGAAACAAAAGATGATGAGTATCACTCACCTAATATAACGTATCTTCTGGAGAAGATAAACAAGTTTCAGTATTTTTCAACTTCTCCACCAAATTGAGATAGACGAAACCGAAATAGGAAACACTGCGTTCAACATGAAGAATGGTCATTACGAGTTCCTCTGGATGTCCTTTGGTATCAAAAATGATCCTGCCACGTTCTAGCGTTTCATGGACATCGCCCTACATGGTATGTCATATGTCTCGTCTACCTTGACGACATTA